TAAAAAAGATAAAAAAATTATTTAAAATCATCATAAAATTTGTAGAAATGAGAAATTGGGATTTAAACACCGTAAGGAAAGGGAAAATGAATAAGAAAGAGGTAGCAGCAGATCCTGGAAAAGGGCAGAACAAGGAGAGGGAGGTGGTGGTGAAGGTCCCACCGAAGCTGGAACAGGTGAGTTTCAAGGAGACCACCGAGTCCACTGATCTCAGGCTCAGGGGGAGAGAGGTCCAGAGTCTGGGGGCCACAGCAGCAGATGATCTGTCACCTTTGACCTTTAGCCTGGTGCTGCACAACCAGTAGGCTTTGGTCACTGGACCTCAGGGACCTGCTGGGGGTGTAGGGACTGAGAAGATCACCAATGTAAGATGGTGCTTGTCCATGTAAGGCCCTATAGACCAGAACCAGGATCTTGAAATGAACCCTGAAGTTGACTGGCAGCCAGTGAAGCTGGAGGAGAAGCGGGGTGATGTGGGTGTGTTTGGAGGACTTGGTCAGAAGCCGAGCACAGGCGTTCTGAACCACCTGTAGACGGTTCAGGGAGGTTCTGCTCAGACACGTGAGAAGAGAGTTACAGTAGTCTAAGCGTGAGGAGATGAAGGTGTGGAGAACTGTCTCAAGTTCAGAGCGGGACAGAATGGGACTCAGCTTAGCAACGTTCCTGAGATGGAAGAAGGAAGAGCCAACAAGAGAACTGACATGAGAATCCAGGGTGAGAGCTGGGTCAAAGGTCACGCCAAGGTTCCTGACAGAAGGTCTGGTGTGGGAAGCAAGCTGACCAAGAGAGTCTCTGACTTTGGGAACCAGCTTGTCTGGGGCACAGATGAGGATCTCAGTCTTATCTTCATTCAGCTGAAGAAAGCTCCCACCATCCAGGTTCTGATAGAGTCTAAGCAGGTGTGTAACAGCTGCAGCTTAGACATCTCATGGGGCTTAAAGGAGATGTACAGTTGGAGGTCATCTGCATAAAGATGGTAGGAGATTCCTTTGAAGGAGCTCAGGATGTGCTGTAGAGGAAGCAGATAGAGGAGGAAGAGAAGCCTCAGTTCAGAAAGGTCATGTGATCTTACCATGTGTGTGAAGGAGCAGATCTTAGAGGCTGTTCTGGAGCTGTGAGGGTGTGCTTGCTCCTTTCTGCTTTCCCGCTGATGGAACATCTTCTTCCTCACGTTTTGCTGCTGCTGTTTCATGTTCCAACCTTATTCCTGCATGTCCTTGTTCTCCCTCTTTTATCAGGAAGTCCTCCCACAGTCCCAGCTAAAGTCCAGCTGCTAGCCGAGTCCCTGCAGCACATCTCCAGCCAGCTCAACAGCGTTCTGGGTGTGCTGAGCTCTCTAACCCAGAGGGGAGGCAGCACACCATACACCCCTCTCTCCGTTTCTCACCCCAGCCTAACCGCCACCTCTGTGCCGGCCATTCCCCAGGAACAGAACCCGTCCCCCATCACTGCTGCGCCTCCTCCACTCATGAGTCTCCCGAAGCCACTCTGGAGCCAGGGGCTTCAGACTGGCTCCACAGCCGCTCCTCTCTCCGGTGAGCCGAGAGCCTCCACGGACCTCATCAACAGCAGATGGAGCCAGATATTTCCTGGTATGGCACTGGGTCCGTAGACGTGATCAGATTCAGTTCTGCTGGTTCTGAGAGGTTATTGTCTTCCAGGATCAGCTGCTGACCACAGCAGCACGAGGACCAGCCCCGTGTACCCATCATACACACCTGCCAGGTACACCTGCAGGAAACTAACACACACACCTGCTGTAGGGAGTGTTTCTGCAACGATCCTATAACCGTGTGTGTGTGTGTGTCACAGCGAGCACATACGCAACCTGCGAGTGACGCAGAAATCAGTAGAGGTGGACGGTCAGAGGCTGCAGGGGCTGATTGACAGCAACAAGAGGTGGCTGGACCTACGCAAGAAAGACACCAGTGTGTATCCTTCCCTCTCTAACACTCACACACACAGAGTAGGGTCCATGATGCCGATGGTTGTAAATTAGCAAATCACTTTAGACAAAAGGTCAACCTGACTGGTTTTCTTGCTTGAAGACACTTCACTTGTCATTAAAATATTTTTCAATTCAAACGTAAACATGTGGGGTGATGAAGTGAGCTGTAGGTCAGCCGTCTACTCGTGTCTCGAGGCCTCTAGAGTTCAGCCTGAGAAGCTCAACAGATGAGATATGAAGGAAGAGAAAAAGAAATCAGTCTGACACAACAACCATTCTGGTGGATTTTATTGTTTTCTCCGTTGTTGGCTTAACGGTCTTCCAGACCTCTGTTCATCCGTTACCGCCCCCTCCCCTCCCAGAGCAGCCTGGTGCAACTGGGTCTGGACGACAACAACCAGATCCGAGTCTATCACTACTGAGGACAGGTAACAAGGAAGCTGCCGATGTCGGCCCTGAGCTGAAGCAGGAAGTCTGCAGTTCCCTACAAACCCAGCCGTCGTCACTCCGCTGCTCAGTTATGTAAACGGTGCTGTGTGTTTTATACAATATTTAAATAAACCGTTTATATAAATTCATGTCAGTGTGCTTATTTTAATTCACACGTCCATTCATTTATTTTTGTCCACTTCTCCGGGGTCAGCGTAGCGGCCCAGCCTTCCCTCTCCCCAGCCACCTGGGCCAGCTCCTCTGGGGGAATCCCAAGGCGTTCCCTGGGTCTTCCTTTAGGTCTCCTCCCAGCTGGACGTGCCTGGAAAACCTCACCATGGAGGCATCCTGACCAGATGCCCAAGCCACCTCAACTGGCTCCTCTCGATGTGGAGGAGCAGCGGGTCTACTCCGAGCCCCTCCCAAACTGTGCACCCCCTCTCTAAGGCACAGCCATCCATCCTGCAGATAACTCATTTCAGCCACTTGTGTCCATGATCGGTTTTTTCGGTCGCTACCCAAAGCTCGTCACCGTAATTTACTTTGCAGGAAAATAAAAACTTAATTCTGTAACCGCTCATTTTAATGTTGAACAATAAAATAGTTTTTCATACAGAACCGTGCTAAACCCTCCAGTCTCAGTCAGACACGATACAATTCATCATCCACATTCCCCGTGAGCAGGGAAATCTGACCAATCAGAGCTCAGCTAGTGACTCACATTAGAACACAGAAGGCCACTGACAGGTCATCGGTTTAGAAACGCACTAATCCCGATACAAACAACACACACTCAGCACTGTGTGTGTGTGTGTGTGTGTGTCATAAAAATGTATGAACAGGTTCGGGGACAGCTGCAGCACGTCAACACGGAAAACAGCAGTAGCATCAGTGATGGCAGCAGGACGCTGATCCAGCTCCTGATTGGCACATTCATGTCTGTCCAGCTGATAGGAGGGTGCTGGCTCCAAGTGGCCTCTGGCTATGAATTAGATAACGTGTAGGAGATGCCCAGAGACAGATTATGAATGATAAGGCAACAAGGACAAGCTGAGACATCTAGAAGACATAGATCTTGTCTCTCTGGACGGTGTCCAGGTCATCATCCATGGTCAGAAGGACCTAGGAGGAAATAAAAGTGGAAGGATTTAATTTTACACATGATGACGGAACTGAGCTGTGTGTGAGACACGCACCAGGAAAGACCCAAACATGGCGATGGAGGACAGGAAATGCCAAATGTCGTGATCGTCAAAGAAGGACAGCAGGATGCAGTCTCTGTTGTGTTCACGGGACTCTGCTGGAGTTTTCTGCACAAACAAAATGTTTGAACAAACCTAGAGAAACACTGGTGTGTGTGTGTGTGTGAGAGAGAGAGAGAGGGATGGGACTGACCTGCCAGGTACTCAGACCCTGAAAGAAGAAGTAGAGTGCAAATCCCCAGACGATTGCCGTGAAGAGGATACACACCAACGGCAGACACTTGATTCTCTCACCGCTCCGCAGCTGAAACACATGAATGATGACACAAACACAATCTAACAGAAGCTGCTTGGACTGCCTGAGAGCACACACCTTCATGATAATGTAGAAGGCAAAGTAGAGCAGCAGGTTGCAGATGGCGATGGCCAGCAGGTAGGAGGCAAAGTCATTAGGTCTCTCTATGAGGCCGTAGGCAGCGCTGCAGAGAAGAAAACCAACAAGGAGAGCTTTACTACTAAGGTAAACCGTATAATTAGCCAGTGAGACAGCACGCCGCCAAAGAAGCCTAAATAACGAGGGACAGCTTTTTCATTTCATGGCAAGACATCCCCGTTTTCTCTGGTAAAAACTGAATAAATCCACAAATCTGTCTCCAATTGCCAAGTCTCTATTAAGAGAAATATGCAGATTGATTGTGAAGGCAGCTGCAGTGGGTGGATGCTGATCTGCTCAACTAGAGGAGGATAAACCTACAGTACAACTTTACTGTTGAGGAAAAAAAACTGCAAAGTGCATTTTTGAGTTCCAGTGTTTGAAAAAAGAACCACAGGTTAACATCTAAATGATTCTAAACATTGTTCTAGTGTTCTGCACATTAAATGTTTGATAAAGGGCAAGCTGTACTTTTTTAGAAGTATTTGTTACTATTCCTCTGGTACGTGAGAGTCACTGTGGCGTGTATACACAGGGATGGGAACCGGGGCCTAAAATCTCTCAACTGCAACCCAAAAGTTACAAACAGCTATAGGGATGCACTGATCAGGTTTTTTGCTACCGATACCGATATCAAGGAATGCTGATCACCGATACCGATCACGTGGATTGGCCAGAAATTTTCTACAACATTATAATGAGTAGTACAAACTACATAATCTGGGAATAAAGGAAATGTAACCTTTATGAGGTGTTTATGAATGTGGCATCCTGTGATGGCACTAATAACATCAAGAGATAATAAATAATGTAATATTTAGGTAAATTGAACCCTTTACATGTGATCAGGACACTGTAATCAATTTTTGGCAAGGGAGATTATCTTTTATTTTATTTTTTTAGCCATTTTTGGGGTGTTTTTGATGATACAGTAGGCAGTATGAGTACAGTAACATCAACAGATAATACATAAAACCCTTATTTGGTCAATTTTAGCCTCCATGAAAATCTGAGCGATTCAATCACTTTTTGGCAAGTAAAATGCCATTTTAGTTGTCTACAATTAAATCATCAATAAAGAATTTAAAGATATTTTGAGGCGTTTCTTATAGGTAAACAGGAGGGTGTAGTCTCTTAATTTTATGTGCTGAAGTGCTTTTATCTTGTTACTTTTAAATAGAGCAACGTAATGTATAGATAGTAACCTACACAGTGTCATTAAAGCCAAAGCTTGATCAGTTTAAATAGTAAAAATGTGCCCCAAATTAGCTAACTGTGGCTCCATGTCAAGTGGACTAAAGAAAGGAAGGGGGAAAATTCAAATCGCTGGAGAATTGTTTATTTACATTTATACAACGTTTACATTCAATACAGGGTGCCATTTTACATTGTTTATTTCTTTTTTTGTATCAAGGCTGTAAAATAAAGAAAGCCAGTTCTTACCACAAACCATCTTTCAATCGCAAATATTGCAAAAAGGATTAATATATCCTCATTGTGAACGTTTAAGACAATAGCAACACTTAAAACAACTTCCGAACTGGAAAACCTAATATCCGCGATAAACATCTGTTTAAGTACCGGAAGAGGTTACCTCTGCTTTCTGAATGTCCATACTGCTAGATATGCTGAGTTTTAGGGCGAAATCCTGGGGAATTTTGTCTAGAAATGCAATTACCTAACCGTGCGCGATCCCGCGGTGGCTGATCAGTTTTTGGCAGCGAGTCGATTTATGGCACAACACCGGCAACTTCAGCCGATGATACGGTGGCTGGTAAGGGTCACCGCGCCTACACCGCAGCAACGGTAAACCCACCAAGATAATATAGTTTTTTAAAAAACAAGACGGTTATTATTGTCAACTTTTTTTTTACCGGGGTTTACCGCTACACCGGTTACCGTGACAACCCTACGGCTGATCGGTCTGCTTTGATCTAGTTTGAAAATTCCGATCAAAACCGATAGGGGCGCTATCGGCCGATTACGATCAAATGCTGATCCATCGGTGCATCCCTAAACAGCTAACGACTGAGCAGCACCAGTGTTTACAAACACCAACGCCTCTAAATGCATCATCGTGTGACTTATGCAGAACACAAACTTCACTGATTACATGGGACAGTTTAGCTTTTTAAATGTTATTTCTTACAAAGGTGCTGAAATTAGCCCCCCCCCGGCAAAAAGGGGGGGGGGCGTCCAATTTTCCAGTTTCTGGCTAATGTACTGAAGTAAACAAATAAACACCTGTTTACTTACAGAGACCAGTTGACTATGTTCCCCATCACCAGCAGAACCATACGGTCCTAATGGACACAAATCAGGGGGAGGTGATTAACACAGCAGCTCTAGTACACACACACACACACACACACACACACACACACACACACACACACACACACACACACACACACACACACACACACACACACACACACACACACACACACACACACACAACGTTCTGCTGTTGAACATGAGGACACTCACGATGTACATGGGTCCACTGCATTGCCTGATGCAGTCTGTGTAGATAATGGACACAATCCTGCGTAGGACACCAGCATCTGATGGACACCAGCACAAAGACAAACATCTAACGTTAACTGCAGGTTTAGTAGATCTAACCACACAGACCAGGAGGGATCTCACCAAGCCTCCATCGACCCATGTAGTACAGCTGTGTGCTGAGCAGCAGCGTGGCCAGGATGTGGATGACGGAAAACACAATCCAGAACGCTGTGTTCCCCTTCCCAAACAGCTGAGAAGCAGAGCAACAGGAACCAGGAATCATCAGAATGTCCATGAGCCACTCTGTGGTTCCACCTCAGGTGTGTGTGTGTGTGTGTGTGTGTGTGTGTGCTCACCACTCCAAGCACAGAGAAGAAGATGACAGCAGCCAGGCAGGCGTAGGCGGTGTAGGCACTGGCGTTGATGTCTGGGTGTCTCTTCTGATAAAGCTTCAGCATACAGAGTCCAGCGATCATGTACATGAAGGACGTGTCTGCAGCAAAAACAAGCTGTACTTTTACTGGCTGTGGACACCACAGCAGGCTGGTCTCAGGTCAGATTCATTCCTGTAGGTAAACGTGTGCTAGTAGTGAGATGCTCCCCAATATAAAACCATGTCTTAGTAAAGTTGGAAATGTCCAAAGTTATTAGTCCACAGCAATGTCAGAGGTCAAATAGACAGTTGGATGTCCAGCAGCCTCCCTCTGCTAGGAATGTTGTGTTGTTCCCTGTACCAAAACAATTCCATGCTAAGCCATCCCTAACAGCACCATCTGGACACTAAGACAAAATAACCTCCCATGTTTACTCCAAGGTCCTGCAGAAAAATCTGAATTTTACTCTCTTAAAGTGACAATGTGTAGTTGTTACTGTTATTCTCTGTAAATATCCGTCAAAATGTTGTTGAAAATGTATTAAATGATGTCCAGTTGTTGAAAATTGTTGGCGGCTTCGTAGCATATAACCAAAAAAATCAGGTCTAAAATACATGGGAGCAGGTCCAAGTCTCAGGACAACGCCATATTAGGCACCATGTCTCCTTCTACGGGAGCCCATGAGGACAAAATGCATTTACTGATTGTAACGGATACAAAATGTCACCATTTCCTCGTTACCCTCATCTTTGTTTAAAAGTGCTTTTCAGTCCATCGGTCCCAGTGTGCTCTCTATTATTAATGCTTCTCTGGTCTCTGGTCAGGTCCCTGCTTACTTTAAGAACGCTGTAATCCACCCGAGTCTCGACCCCTCTCTCCATAGCAGCTTCAGACCCATTTCTAAACTTCCGTTCATCTCCAAGATCTTGGAAAAGGTTGTGGCTAAACAACTCACAGCTGCTCTTGATGAACATAACATCTATGATAGCTTCCAGTCAGGTTTTCGTAGAGCTCATTCTACTGAAACAGCTCTTCTTAGGGTCTCTAATGACCTTCTGACTCACAGTGATGCAGGGGACTGTTCTGTTCTGGTCCTGCTGGACCTGACTGCAGCCTTTGACACTTTGACCATCACCTGCTACTGGAGAGGCTGAGAGACTGGGTAGGCCTATCAGGATCTGCTCTGGAGTGGTTCTCCTCTTATCTTTCTGAGCGCTCCTTTTCTGCGGCCGTCTCCAAGTTTAGGTCCTCCATCACCTCCCTTACCCATGGTGTCCCACAAGGTTCTGTGCTGGGGCCTCTACTCTTCCTCCTCTATCTGCTTCCTCTTCAGCACATCCTGAGCTCCTTCACAGGAATCTCCTACCATCTTTATGCAGATGACATCCAACTGTACATCTCCTTTAAGCCCCATGAGATGTCTAAGCTGCAGCTGTTACACACCTGCTTAGACTCTATCAAAGCCTGGATGGTGGGAGCTTTCTTCAGCTGAATGAAGATAAGACTGTGTAACGTGAGGAAGTATGGGTTTTCTGTGCCAAAGGTCGTATTTGCCCGGCTGGGTCAGAGCTGGGTCACGCAGCACTTTCACCCACAGATTAAGACCTGAGCTGACAGCAAGTCTGAAGGACTCCACAACATCCAACACCTGCAGCTTCAGAAGAAGGACTTCTCCATAGTCTAGTCATAATAAAACAGTCTTAAACTTTCTTCATTATTAAAGTTAAATAATCATTTGATCACTTTGCTCATTATAAATGTATTTTAATCAAATGAATGATTATTATGCTTTGGGTAATCATAATGAACTATAATGAATCAGTACTTAATTAAATAATGTTTTGAAGAGGTTTAGCGATGACCTTCACACAGGTCTGGATTCACAGTAACTCAAAACACATTTGCTCTGACACACAAGTTTGCTTTGGGAAGAGAAGTGGTTTTTGGTAAGTTAGTCAGAATGAGATTGTGAATGAAAGAGAGCGGACGTGCGGGAACAAACGCCAACGGGGAACGGAGCCCCGCCGGCTCCACCACCCACCCCCGCCCACCCCCCCCCACGCTATTTCTGTCAAGCCAGACAGAATAGCTGAAATGCACCCAGCTAACGCAGACTCGTCCCAGAGTCTTTGATTTCTGAGTTAATTTAAACTTGAGAAAGCGCATCTGCCAAACGCTTCATCAATGTGTACCGAGGTCAACTCTGGACTGGACCGTCAGCACACCTTCGTCTTCTCTGCCAGCCAAGGTGTGACCTGGATAAACATCCTCCGAGGTCCGGATCTTAAAGAGGGTCCTGAGTACGGTGAGGCAGAACACAATAGATAGCGTTCTGATGCTGGTTTTCTAATAAGAACTAAGTTTAATTACAAAACATCACTTTTCACTCAGATTCACCTTTTCTCTCCCTGAAGCAATCTCAGAAACATGCACGCATTCATAATTACACCATCCTCAATCTTAGCACATCCAACACAAGGTCTATTTGTGCAAGCTTAAAATATCAACTGTTAAAGATTGTCCAACAAGGTTGCCGATGTTGATTATTTTTCCTATGATTGTCATTTCAAATCGTTAGTTTAAATTGAAGAATTAAACTCTTTAATTTCAAACTTGTCTCTTCATTGAACTGAAACACAGACAACCGGATATGATCGTCAGTTTATCGATGAAAACAACCTTTGAGTCTTCTTATCTCTATAACATTTGGTTATTAATTTGTAAAAATTAATATTCCAGATTATTATGTAGGATGGTTTATCTTTCATAAAAGAGCCAACAACCAATACGCTACAACTGAGATCCTCATCTGTGCCCCAGACAAGCTGGTTCCCAAAGTCAGAGACTCTCTTGGTCAGCTTGCTTCTCACACCAAACCTTCTGTCAGGAATCTTGGTGTGACCTTTGACCCAGCTCTCACCCTGGATTCTCATGTCAGTTCTCTTGTTGGCTCTTCCTTCTTCCATCTCAGGAACGTTGCTAAGCTGAGTCCCATTCTGTCCCGCTCTGAACTTGAGACAGTTCTCCACACCTTCATCTCCTCACGCTTAGACTACTGTAACTCTCTTTTCACGTGTCTGAGCAGAACCTCCCTGAACCGTCTACAGGTGGTTCAGAACGCCTGTGCTCGGCTTCTGACCAAGTCCTCCAAACACACCCACATCACCCCGCTTCTCCTCCAGCTTCACTGGCTGCCAGCCAACTTCAGGGTTCATTTCAAGATCCTGGTTCTGGTCTATAGGGCCTTACATGGACAAGCACCATCTTACATTGGTGATCTTCTTAGTCCCTACACCCCCAGCAGGTCCCTGAGGTCCAGTGACCAAAGCCTACTGGTTGTGCAGCACCAGGCTAAAGACCAAAGGTGACAGATCATCTGTTGCTGTGACTCCCAGACTCTGGACCTCTCTCCCCCTGAGCCTGAGATCAGTGGACTCAGTGGTCTCCTTTAAAAAGCAGCTGAAGACTCACTTGTTCAAGCTGGCTTTTGTATGACCTTCTTCACCTCTCTCTCTTTATTCTGCTCTCCCCACCTATTCCACCTTCCTCAGGATCCACTGATTTCCCTCTTTCCTGTTCACTCTCTCTCTCTCTTAACTTTTTTTAATCACAATTGTCTATTTTTGCTCATTTTAAATATATTTTTAAACATTTTCTAAATGCTTTTTCATATTTTTACATTTTTTGTTTTTGTGAAGCGCCTCATGATTTTTATCTTGAGAGGCGCTGTAGAAATGATTCTTCTTCTTCATTCACAAACATTTTACATGTACCTATTCACTTGTTGCCAGTGATGAAAGGGAGTCTGATGTGCTTCTCATTTTGCACTCCCCAGGGCATTTTGACCCTAATGGGCATCGGTTGGTAAGGTCTTACTCCAACACAAAAATACTTCTTCCTTGCAATGTTTTAGGTATCTACTGCCCCCTATCGCCAGGATTCTTATTCTGGTCTCGTGAAAGGATTTCTTTAAATCCACAGGTGGTTTACAATCATATTCTGTGTTATCTACAATGAATGTTCTATCTGAAGCAGCAGTACTCATAGGCGGCCCGCGGGCCCTCTCTTTGTGTTGTGTCAAAGTTTATAAACAATCACTTCTTAATAATGATCTCACTTCCCATCTTCCACAGTTCTAGCCAGAGCTCCAAGTTCATCCAAAGCTCATAACTCATGCTAAATGGCCATCCTATGGGGAATCAAACCAGATTTTTCAGTGGAATAATTTTAGTAGCTTAACAATTATTATATGCTGAATCTACAAACAACTCATCAGCCGCGAAACGGTCCGCCTGCAGCCCGAGAGACCATCTCCGACCAGCTGATGCTGATTTAACGGAATACAGCCCGCGACATCCAGAAGTAAAGCTCCCCGCTGGCCGAGGAAACTTCTTTCAGCAGGATCGCCGACAAGTCTCTATAAACACGGGTACTGCATCTCTCCACTGCCGTCGGATAGGTTAATAATAATTTGATAAGTTGTGAAACCACAACAAACAGACAGCCAAATTAATGTTATAAACCCAGACATCACACCTTTCTGAGTCACTTAGTGAAGCTCTTAAAACAGACCAGGTCACGTTTCATCAGAGTTCATTCATTGTCTCATTTAATATCATCGTTCATAATTATTAGCCTTTCATCATCATTGATATAGTAATACATTGATTTTCCCTGGCAATACCCAAACTACATAGTTTCATCATCAATCGAATATTAAAGACTCAATAATATTGATAATTTATATTTTTATGGAATATTACATTTGATTGAATACCTTAATATTCTACTGACAATTTATTAAAAGTAACCTCTTACAAACTTACATTTTGGCGAGCCAGCCATGAGGAAAATCAAATCAACACTTTATTAATAATTAGAGGTTTTAAAATCTATTTGCTGAGTTGAAACGAAGGAGCTTCCCTGCGACCTTCTTCACGAGCGCCGTCTCATCTCATCACATCCCCACCAGTCTAAAGCTGTTACAGCAGTAATATTGTCTTGGCTCTAAAAAGGAGTGAATGCTTGTGTGTTGTTGTTTTTGTTTTATTTGTGTTCACCGAATTCGGTACTCTTTAAGGTACCGACCGAGCACCAATTCACGTCATTTGAAACGGTGCCTCGTTTCGGTACCCGTCCTTCATAACGAGAACTTGCCAAGACAGCTGCGCATGCGCAAGAGCGTTATGTCGTCGCTCGCTGCGAGCCAGTTGTAAACAGAGCAGCACGGTAGAAAGAACGCACGCTAAAGCTTGGGTCCACTTCACTAAATGTGATGGGTAACTGGGTGATGATGAAACCAGCGACAGACAACGATCTAAGTGAGACATCCTCATCTTAATCTGCTCCGGTAGGTAAATAAAATGTTTAAGATAACGTTAGCTTGATATGTTAGCTTCCGTTTCGCTAATGGTGCGTTCGCTTTCTCCTCGGAACTCCGAATTCCCGACTAGAAGAACATGAACTCGCTCTAAAGTTTGACTTCACTTTACTAAATGCGACAGGTGATTGGGTGACGATGAAACCAGCGACAACGATCTAAGTGTGAGGCGTCATCGTTTTAATCTGCTCCAGCAGCTAAATAAACTGTTTAAGATAACGTTAGCTTGATATGTTAGCTTCCATTGCTACCGTTGTTATCAGCTAATGGTGCGTTCGCTTTCTCCTCGGAAATTCTAACTTCCCAGTCGGAAAAATCAAATGAAAAAGGACGGTAAAAGGAATGAAGATACACAGTAAATTTAGTTCACAGTAAAGATGTTTGCTTCAGTTTAATTATCAGCTTATAAAACTACAAGGACGATGTTAAAATACAAACAGTTGTATGTTATTTATCGTGATTTTATCAAATATGGTTATATACTGAGAAAAATATATATTTTATTAGAACAGAGAATTAAAATAATAAACACTCAAAAGTATCGAAAAACGGTACCGTTAAGTACCGGTATCGATTCCTAGGTACCGGGAATTAGTACCGGATCGATTCAAATGTCAAAGGTACCCATCCCTATTCAAGACTGTGTGGAACTTGGGAATAGAGGACACTTGTACCCAACGTTGGCAAAGCTATTCTTGCCCGGATATGATCAATCGGTGTTTGAATTCCGACTGACGAATAATTCCAGTCGAAGCAAATCCGTATTTCACGGTTTGAACTTTCCAGATACGTCCCGCATCTGAAGCAGGTGTTCCGTCTGACTGGAACGAGCCTGAGTGTGTATATCGCCACATTCCTTTCCTGTAGTTAAGCTAACGATTAAATACTAGATTTTAAAATGCAGAAGGCTGCCACGACGCAACCCTTAGATGGGCATATTCCGTGAGCATACCGGCATTAAAAGACTAAGCCAACAAAACCTATAGTGGCTTCCTGTCTGCTGAAGGCTAACTTTAGCACCACTAGAAGTTCAGCTCCATTGAATTTCTTAATTCAAAATGCCTCTATTTAACTCTGGCACTGGAAGCGAGCAGACGCTTTTGTTTTGCTCCTGCCTGAAGCTCTGCCTGCACACAGTCCTCTCCTTTGGCAACTATTGACCTCTTAACTGGGACAGTTCTTTAATTTGATTGGGAGGTCTACAGCAGCATTTTTGCTTCGACCTACATTCACTTCTCTCCCTATGTGCTTCGCCGCTGACATGTTCTCGACGTTAACTCTCTTACAACATTGCGCTCCCATCCCTCTCCTCAGAAGATTTACAACTTCTTCAAAAGATCTCGGCTATAACGACACTCTCCCACCTACTCTGGTCGCAGGACCCCAGATGATCCACAGTTGGTCAGCGCCTCTGTGCTACCCAATAAATCTCCGAGCACCTCTCCCTGGAATACTCTCGGTGCAAAGCCGAAGACCAAGTCAGCTCCATGGGGAACAGGAGGTGGTAAACTGACCACTCCATGATATGACGGATGAAAATGGCTGGCCAGTGTTACCTTCATGACCTCATCATGAACAGAGCAGCCCACATCATTGACGAGCTGGCAAAGCGAGGGACACCAGAGGAACATCTCATCAAACAGGCATTCGGCTGCCAAACCAGTCAGATTGGGAGACGCTAGAAGGCTTGCCCTCTTCATCTCAGAACAGGGTATGGAACCAAAACAAACAGCAGAAGAGTTCTGTTGGGGATCGGACTCTGACAATGGATGACTTTCACGTGAAATATGTGAACTTAAATGGCCGCTTCTCCAAAACTTAGTTCTGCCAAAGATACAATTTCTGATGTCGCAGATGGAGTACCAACAATGCTTGATGGTGCCTGTGATGTCAGGAGTAGGGAGTCAGAAATCCTCAAGCATGATTTTACTGCTCTGCTGACATCACTCAGCTCCCTAGAAATAATGATGCTGATCAGCAGCCCCCTTCCACCTATCAGAAGAGGAGCTGAACTTCTCTCACAAATCCACGCTTTCAATAAGCGGCAGTCATCCACTTGTGATAAAGAGAGCATCCCCTATTTTGATCAGTTCAACTCTCTCGCGAGTCGGGCAAGGAGCACAGCGGAGAAGCCGCTTCGTGGCAGCGACTCTGCCGGTGTCAACTGGAGTGCAGCGATTGTAGCTAGTAAACCTTTCCACCGCCATTTCCGCGTTCTGCTTCCAGTGTGCAGTGGGGGTAATAACTGTTGGTTCTGGAACAAGGATGAGGGTTAATGTTGTTACGGTTGACCTCCTGTCACTTCAGGCTGACAGACTGACATTTATCCAGGTATTAATGAGGAACAGGAGCCAGGATACGAAAGGAAAACCAGCATCAGAGTCCTACCAAACTGGAAGTTAGTGTAGTTGGGGCAGACGTGGTAGCAGCCACTCAGAAAACCCTCCATCATCAGAGCCGTCCCCATGGCGTAGTACAAACCAAAGTGCTTTGGGATGCCACACTCCTGCAGGAAAAACAATTATTAATCAGTCCTATTGGAGCCGTGGTTCATTCTGTACCAGCTGGTCTGAAATGCTGGCCATCATGCAGGACGCTCGTGTTTAACGTTACAAAAAAGCAGCAGAGGAGGTTAAACAGTTTCCTGGTCAATCCAAACATTTGTGGCACGTCATCATGCATCATGTAGCAGGCCATACGTCTATGTATTTACCCATCAGCTGAGAAGTTTGATGCAGGTGTTTCATTCACTATTTTATCTAGTAGTTCCACAGGGAGGTGGACAGGTCTGTACCTTTTTTTCTTTTTAGAGGCTCAGAAGGTTCAAATTCAGAGAGTAAATCTATCCTTTGGCTTTCTGTTTTACATGAGCTGATGTGAAGCGTGACCAACATGAACCGTTCCCTTACGAGGTCACGGGGGGGTTAGCGTTAATCTCACCAGAGCGCTGAGGTTGTGGCGAACCAGTGCTCGCTTGTGGACGATCTCTCTCTTCAGAACAATGAGGAGGAAGAGGAGTCCCAGCATCACGTAACCCAGGTTACTGAGGATGTTGTTAAATGCGCTGAGCAGGACAGAGAGGAGAGGTTAAGGTCACAGCGTTTGAAACATCGTTCAGGGTTTAGAAGAACATGAAAACGCACCTCAGAACTCCCAGGGGGTGGGCACACAGGAAGTTGTAGTAGCAGAGGTCCTGATTTCCTGTCTTGTTGACCGCCTAGAAAACAGTGATGGCTCTATCAGAAGGGTTTTATCGCCAAGTGTGCAAGAAATCACAATAACAGGCAACTGCTGCGGTACTTGGTGCAAAAAAAAAAAAAGATCAAAATAAGAGACGAGCAAAAACAGGAAGTAAGAATATAATCATGATTAGATTATATAAAGCGGCGACACTTAGAGAAATGGTTACTATGCATACAAGAAAGTGTAGGTACTGATCAGACACACAACACAGGGCCATGTGATTGAAACCAAGCCACTGGAGTGGGCAGTCCTAGGATTTCCCTTCACGAGTCCAACAGCAGAGGGGAAGAAACTGTTCGGATCGGAACCTCTCGCCACAAGAACAGTTTCTGCCAGATGGGAATGAGTCAAAAAGATTGTGGCAGGGGTCTGACATGAGTCCAATGATGATGGTGTCATCTGCAAACTTAATAAGCTCGACAGACTCGTGGTTGGAGGTGCTGCGTGGTGTACAGGGGGAAGAGCAGAGGGGAGAGAACACAACCCTGAGGGGAACCAGTGTTGACTGTCCGCTGGTCCGAGACATTCTTCCCCAACCTCACTTGCTGCTTCATGTCCGTCAGGAAGTCGGTAATCCTGCTGGAGTCAGGAACATTCATCAGGGACAGGCTTTCTTGGAGGAGGTCTGGTAAGATTGTGCTGAAAGCGGAGCTGAATTCAGCAAACACGGTCCTGGCGTAGGTACCAGGGGAGTCCAGATGCTGAAGAATGAAGTGTAGAGCCATGTTGAAGGCATCGACGTCTACAGACCTATTGGCTCTGTGGGCAAACTGTAGGGGGTTCAGGAGGATGAGCTGTGAGGCTCTTGAGGTGGGGGAGAAACAGGTGCTCAAATGACTTCATGACCGCAGATGTCAGAGCCACAGGTCTGTAGTCGAGTCCAGTGATCCTTGGCTCCTGAGGTCAGGGACTATGGTGAAACTCTTGAAGCAGGAAGACACATGAGATGGCTACAGTGAGATGAAAATGCCTGTAAACACTGAGGCCAGCTCTTCAGCACAGCGCTTTAGAGTGGTAGGACATACGACATCAGGACCGGGGGCTTTCCGTGCGTTTAGAGCCTTGAATTGCTTTCTGACATCTGCCTCATGGATGTGTAGGTTTGTGGTGGAGGGTGTAAGATGTGAGGACCTCCTGGGTGACAGGAGCGGTGGAGGATGTTGAGAGTAAATTCCACTGTGATGGATCTTGAGTGGGGGGGTGGGTGACTAGTGTCTGGATGAGGTGGGAGATCTGGTTGATGGCTCATCAAACCAACAATAGAAGTTGTTTAGGCTGTTGGCCAAGGGCAGATCGTCAGTGGAGGCGAGGTTTTTGGCCTTGTAGTTTGTAAGTTCCTGAAACTTTTCAACACAGCGGCCGAGTCACGTTCAAAGATTTGCTGCTGTAGGTTGCCATGGTTCTGGAGTTTAGCTACGACCACTTCCTTGCTGAACCTGTACTTAGCATCTCTGTCCTCACTTTTAAAAGCTTCTGTCTTTTCTAAACACAGCTGCTTCGAGTTTTGGGGTAAACCAGTCTTTGTCATTGTTATAACACACCCTGGTGCATTCTGTCCTGGCAGAGATGGACGTAGGAAGTGACAGTATCTGTGTACTCGTTTAACGTCCGCGTCTGGCGGGATGTAAACCGCTGCTTGAATGAATGAAGCAAACTTCCGTGGAGAGTAAAACGGTTTACAGTTGATAAAAGATATTCCAGAGAGAGAGAACAATGCTGAGCAAACTTTGCAACATCCGTACACCTTTATTGATGTAAAAACACACACCTCTGCTCGCGGTCTTGCCGGAGAGAGCCGCTTGCCAATCGGTGTGAAGGAGATGAAACCCCTCCAGCTGGAGTGAGCAGTTCGGGATGTCCTCACTGAGCCACGTTTGCATGTAGCGTGATGAGGAAAAGTCTCTGTTTCTCATCGGGGTCGGCTCGCCCATTTCATTTCAGAGTGAACACACGTTAGAGAGGAAGATGCCAGGCAGAGCCACGCGTAATCCCCTTCTCCTCAAATACCCGAGTGTGCCCGCTCACTTTCCTCTCCTTCAGTGTCTCACTCTCCTGATCAAAGTTGGTAATACATCTGCTGCAGATCAAACAAACTGAAGATAAACCAACCAGTATCGTAGTGTTGTGGCTTACGAGTTCTTCTCTGGTGTAGGAGAACCCAGAAGAGTGTGCAGACACGCAGTTTACACACAAAAGCAAAACCAAAGCAGCACAAATTGTTGTTTGAGATCAATCAGACGTGAGAGTGTGTGTGGGGTCAGCGTACTGTTGAACAAAGATTTCGATTCCAGACCTGCATAATTCTAAAAATCCGTTCTGGATTACATCTCAATCTGTGTGTATGAAACCAAGCTGAAAAGGCCAGGGATCTGCTGTTCTGAGTGTGTGTGTGTGTGTGTGTGTGTGTGACCTGGCTGGAGACTCCTAATCAGTGCTGTCGTAAATGATGGATGTGCCTTCACTACTCTGCTATGGTTAGAAAATGAAGGTTGTAGATATAACCTGTAATGACATGTCCATATATGAGGAGTATGTCGTCTTTATCCTCTGTGGAGTTAGTCCAGAATGCTAGAAAGATACAGAGGAGACATGTAGTCTAGGTAATGTTTATAGCGGACCCCTGGGGTGGAGAAGAAAATGGAGGGGGACATCAATGCTGACTGATGACTACGAAGAAGAGACGAGGTCATCCCTAAGGTCACCGAGATGAGCCGGCAAGAGACGCTGGGAGGAGCGAGGTCATGTTACCAGTGGACCGGACAGTGTGCTTCATGAAACCGGAAGTTACCATGGAGACGGAACAGGAGACAAGAAGGAGGGGGAAGCTGAGAGATAAAGAGGGGGGCCCGAGAGGAACCGGGAGTGGAGTTGAGTTCGGTTGAGCTGGTGTGATTTGGGTTTTGAGTGCCTTGTGATCCTTACCCGCTGCGTCGGGGTGATTCGGGGTGGACAGTCCTCTACCGTGCACCACCTTGCCACAGGAGTCCCCCAGGGCTCTGTACTAGGACCTCTTCTCTTTGCCATATACACCACCTCACTGGGTGAGATCATTCGATCACATGGCTTCTCCTACCACTGCTATGCAGACGACACCCAGCTCTATCTGTCATTTCCACCGGACGACCACACTGTCTCAGCACGAATATCAGACTGTCTCTCTGACATCTCAAAATGGATGAAATCCGCCATCTCCAACTCAACCTCGCTAAAACTGAACTGCTTGTCATCCCAGCAAAACCATCCATACAGCACAATATCTCAATCCAAAATGACTTCCTATCTCTGGCTCCTTCAAAGGCAGTTCGAAATCTGGGTGTTGTGATTGATGAACACCTGAACTTTAAATATCACGTTGCCTCTGTTGCTCGTTCATGCTGCTTTGCGCTGTATAACATACGAAAGATCAGACCATACCTAACACAACATGCCACCCAACTCCTGGTGCAATCTACTGTCATCTCCCGCCTCGATTACTGCAACGCCCTTCTAACTGGTCTTCCAGGCTGTACTGTGAGACCTCTTCAAATGGTCCAGAACGCAGCGGCGCGTCTGGTCTTCAATCAGCCTAAAAGAGCACACGTCACCCCTCTGTTCATTGAGCTCCACTGGCTACCGCTAGCAGCACGCATCAAATTCAAATAGCTAACACTAGCATACAACGTCCGAGATGGTACGGCTCCCATCTACCTGAATCCTCTTGCAAAGGCTTACGTCTCGGCCCGGCCGCTCCGGTCATCACAGGATCGTCGGCTAGCAGTGCCTACACCACGCTCAGGACAACCCAGACTCTTCTCATGCATCGTTCCACAAATGTGGAATGACCTACCAAGCACTACCAGAACAGCGGCTTCCTTTTCAATTTTCAAGAAACTCCTGAAGACCCTGCTCTTCAGAGAGCATCTTCTAAACTAGCACCCTCCCTGCACCCGTCCCCCCTCTCTACCGTCCACTCCTTGTTCCCTCCTCTCCATGACTGATGTCAAGTTGCTGTTGTTATTGTTGTTGTTAGCCTCAAGGGCAAAATGCCAATTATCACTTGTAAGTCGCTTAGGACAAAAGTGTCTGCTAAATACATAAACATAAACATTCTGTCGGAATAATCTTTTTTCAATAAAAACCTTGGTTTCTTATTGTGAGAAACTAAAAGAACAACTTTGTCTGGGGCCTCCGTCTGTTGTCGGGTAACCGGAAAAGGTGAGAAGCTGGTTACTTCATATCCCACTCCAAGGTGTTTAGACGAGTCACTTTAAAGTCTTTGACCTGAGCCACAGGTGGCTGAAGGTGTGCTGATGTTTGAACCGAGTCTTCCTTTGAGCTGCGAGCCGTTTGTGTTGCCAGAATCAGAGTCTAGGTTATTGGTGATTGCTAATGAGCTCCTACAGTGTGCAGGCAGCTTAGAGAGCGGCTGAATATCACGCCCACGCACAAATAGAAATACAAGTCAGCCCTGAGACGTAGCATCTGTTAAAGAGTTAGGCTAGCTTGGGAGGATGGCTTGTAACACGTACCGTCTGGTAGGTGATGACCAGCTGGATGACCGGCAACGCATAAAACACAGCAATGGTAGCGATATTCCTGAGGGAACACACGCATCATCTGATTTAACCACGATGTCGCAGGAAGCATGCTTTTATTTTTTATTTGTCCTGATGGAGACGGTGACTGCAGGCCTGAACTGTCCCAGGCCAACAGCCTCCTCACCAGAAGTAGATCTGGTATTTCTTGCTGAGGATCCTCTTGTCTTTGCGGGCCAGGTCAGACACACACAGATACTTCTGTTTAAAAGGAAACACACCAGCAGCAACTATGTTAATGAGTCCCGATCACCTAACCAAGTGGAGATGAGGACAGAAGAATCCTACCTTGGTGCGGACAATGTTCTTGTCAGAGTCGATATCGTCTAAAGTGTCGTAGTCGTCCTCCTCCACTGAGCTCAAGGACTCCTGTCTGCTGCGAGCTACGCTGTCCAGTGAGCGCTCTGACAGACAGGAAGAGGAGCAACCAGGGGTTAAACGTTTTCAAATACCATCTCAGGTGATCTGCAAGATTCTGATTGATTTGGTGACTGACTGGAGCAGCTTTGCTGCAGCGTCACAGATAAAGAAGAGGAGCGGTCAGCTCTTCTTCTGATGACAGCGGCGCGGTTCAGACGAACAGCAGCACCGTGGCATGGCTGCATGTCTGTGTGTGTGATCATACCTATGTAGCCATAGTTGTTGTCGGTGGACGTGGCGCTGTCAGTGATGGCCTCTGAGCTCAGCGTGCTGCCGTTATCAGCTGGCAGGAAGGATGTTTGGATTTAACTCAATCTTCAGTCAAAGACATTAAAGCAAGGCGATTCAATTGCGGGCCTCAAGGGCCGGTGTCCAGCACATTTTAGTGGTTTCTCTAGTCAAACACACGAGATTCAGTGGTTGAATCGCCTGCAGCAGCTCATCAGGCTCTGCAGAATCCTGTTAATCACCTGCCGAGTCAAATCAGGTGTGTTGAAGCTGGGTAAAAGCCTAAACGTGCTGGATGTCAGCCCTCGAGGCCCGTTAGAGGAATACTTCAGTTCCTATCTAACCTGATCAACCTCAGTGGGGAGAAATGGGGTTAAAGGTCGACTATGAAACAATTTAATAAGAAGCTATGTTTTTAATAATACACCCACGGGGTGTTTGGAGGTGTTCCGATGGAAGGTACAGTATTTCCTTTAAAGTGCTTCTTTAATGTTCTTTAAAATGTCATAAAAATATCATCTAAGGTCAAAAGGTTACTTTGGTTAACTTTCCAGGTTTTCAGATAACTAGCAGGTGTTTGAAAATACTAAATCAAGTGAAGTGGGGAGGCTTCCCTAAAAAACACACGGTATTGGAGTCACATGACTCGTTATGTACCTAAAGAAAAACTTAGAAGAAGACATGCTCAACTCCGGTTATTTTTAGTTGCTGTGGTAACAGATTTAACTAGTTCGGGGGTCGGTAACCCGCTGCTCTGGAGCCACATGCGGCTCTTTCATCCTTCTGATGCAGCTCTCTGTGCCTTTAAAATAATAAATAAGTATTTAATTAAAATGTATTTCATTTTACTGCATTCATTTTATATGTGTATGCCAATTCTACATTTAAAGATTGTCTGCGTAAACCTGAACAGGTCCAACGTGAAACCAGGTTAACGGGTAACCTGCTTGTGTATAAACAAATGTCTCTACAAGCGCTTCCTGAGCTGAAGAGGATATGAGATTCTGGACTTTCCCTCAGACAAGCTCGTGAATGTGTTGCAGCGTTGCCGCATTGGAGACAGGAACAAGCGCTATTCAGCCAAAGTTTCGTCATCGGGGAACATTTCACACAAGTCTCTCTGAGAGAGATTCTGGAGAGCACTCACTTAAAATGTCAGCGCAACTGCATGCGTTGAAGTAATTCTTTCTATTCTTTCTCCATCAAAACAAACGGTCAAATAGGGTAAACTGTGAACCCTGCCACTTAACCGTTTGGCCTTCTTGTGAAGATTGTTGCAAAGGGAAACAATTAAACTTGATTAAGAGCAGAGCCATGCGCACTGCGTTATCTACATCTTTGTAAATGAGGGAGAAAAATAAATCTTGATCAGATCCTTTTCTTACCTTTCCAACATTGTTTCATAAAAAGTTTTGTTCAGTACAAAGTTTAATTACAACAATTTAACGAGACAGAGCCTGGATTTGTATTCTGAAAAGTTTAAACACGCTTTAAAAGGAGACCCGCGTCAAAAAGCGTCACCTGCTCAACTTTAAACCCACTAACAGGGTGAAAAATATCAAAATATTGTAGGCAAAGATGGGCTACAACTTCTGGATCCACTTTATACAAATAGTTTTATCAACCCTCTCAGGCTCAAAATAACTTTTGATAAAAGGACAAACAACCAAGTCCATCAGGGGTACTTCTGAGTTGAAAAATGCTCATGAAATATGTATGTGGAGTAACGAGGTAGGTAGGTTTTAACGTTGCACATCTGCAACGCCTGCCTCCAGAGGGTTAATTATCTTCTGTTGAAAGATAACTCTGACGTACATGAACAACCGGTGTTGGTTGCTGTCACCTGTTGTGCCTGGATAAAGTAGCTCTCGGCTCGCTTAGGGTGGGCCAAAGTGCAAGTGGGTGGGCCCATGTCCGGTAGGCCCACCCACATCGCCGCGGCCGCTGTGGCTCCCAGTGTTTCTTTACTGTGGGAAATGGGTAATAATGGCTCTTTGAAGGGAAAATGTTGCCGACCCCTGAACTGGTTTAACGATGGTTAGCGTTTGTGTATGTGTTGATTGTATTGACATCGTATTCATCGATTTCCAACAGAAAATGACTATGAGAAGCATAGAGATCATATAAACAGAGACGACATGGGCTGGGGCTTTCTATTGGCACTGGTGTAACTGCAGGCTGATGGGCCACCAGTTGCCCCCAGTTCATTCCTTGGACTAAAAAAGTTGTAACATCCAGGAATGGTCAGTTTTCCCCAACAGATTGACCTACATGCCACCGGTCATCTGCAGACATAAATTCCATTCTCCAACGTGGATTTTACATCCTAGCTTCCAACAAGCCAGAAGGATACTGCAAGTGCTTGTTGACATTTCAGGAGGAACACGATGTCAGCCTGTGTTCCCAAAACAAAAGCCTTCTTTTGATAACACCGCAGGATTGCTCACTCTCATGTAAAAGGAACTTTTACAACTCATAAGTTAAATAATCATTAAATAATGATATGGTTGAATGAACAAATATTATATGAATACTAATGAAATGTTTTGATTAATCTGTGCTTAAATTACTGTGGTTGAAATGAATTTAATTATTACAATGAAACATTTTGGTGTTATGATCAGTAATGTTTGATTTAACAAGGGAATCTACACTCAGACACACAAGGTTCATTAGAGATAAGATAAAGTTAAAGTAATTTCTGCACATAAATATTTTCTTACCCACAAATCAGAGCATCCTGTTTCTGAAAGAGGGCGTGATGTTCTGAGGTTTGTTTGTTAACACCTATTAACATGGCACGTCCCGACTGGCCAAGTAAATCATAATATGAGAATATTAAAACAGAATCACTGGTGAGTGATGCATTCATTCTGTGAGATTCAGCATTCTGTTAGTTGAGCTAACTCTGACTGGCAATCGGAGGGAAACTCTGCTCCCATCGCATCTCTTGACAAGCTGTCAAAACCTACACGATACAGCTGACACAGCAAAATGGTTCCTTCAGATATTCAGAAACAGCTGTTCTAGACGCAAAAGATTTCAGCTTTCTGTTGTGATCCGGGAGAAGACTCTGGACCGACCTGGTCGTACTGCAGTCTTTTCTACAAACTTCGGTACTTTGGGGTCACCCAGTCTCTGAGCCTCTCCAGTAGCAGGTGATGGCAAACAGTGTCAAAGGCTGCAGTCAGGTCCAGCAGGACCAGAACAGAACAGTCCCCTGCATCACTGTGAGTCAGAAGGTCATTAGAGACCCTAAGAAGAGCTGTTTCAGTAGAATGAGCTCTACGAAAACCTGACTGGAAGCTATCATAGATGTTATGTTCATCAAGAGCAGCTGTGAGTTGTTTAGCCACAACCTTTTCCAAGATCTTGGAGATGAACGGAAGCTTAGAGATGGGTCTGAAGCTGCAATGGAGAAAGGCGCCAAGACTCGGTTTATTAAGAAGCGGGTGGATTACAGCGTTCTTAAAGTAAGCAGGGACCTGACCAGAAACCAGAGAAGCATTAATTATAGAGAGCACGCTGGGACCGATGGACTGAAAAGCACTTTTAAACAAAGATGAGGGTAAGATGTGGAGGGGGCATGCAGAGGTCTTCATAGAGTTAACTAGTTTGGTTTACTCAGGCAAAGAAACAGGAGCAAAGCTATCTAGGATGACGGATCGGGTTGAGTCGAGAGAGGCAGAAAAAAGGCTGAGGGAGATATGCTAGATCTGACCTTACTGACTTTGTCCACAAAGAAAGACAGAAAGTTCTCACAGTCTGCAACAGAGTGAATGGAGGCTGTAGGAGAGGCAGGAGAGACGATGCTGCTGATGGTGTTAAACAGCACCTTGGGGTTCCCTTTGCTCTGGGACACCAGGTTGGAGACATAGGAAACCATTGCATCTCAGACTGCAGAGTTAAATGATGTCAGAAGATCCTTTAGAAGCAGCAGATGGATGTGGAGACGGGTTGTCTTCAACAAGCACTCAATTTTTCTGCATTGGCACTTCAGGTGGTGTGTGTGGGGCCAGAAAATTGCTGGGTAAAGCTGAAGGAGTCCATGAGACTGGAGAAGGCCATGGCAAAGTGGCATGTGGGATCATCAATGTGAATGTTAAAATCACCAACAACCACCAGTCTGGTCAGCTTCATGGTGGAAAATAAAGTCACTAAACTCCTGAAGGAAAGAACAGTTTGTGCCAGGTGGACAATAAACCACAGCACGGTAAAACGGGTCCTTTCTTACACCCGACTTTAATCAGAGGCAGTTCAAAAGAAGCAAAGCGACCAGAGGTTGTAGAGCTACAAGGAAGATGGTCTCTGAAAACAACAGCTAGGCCTCCATCACAACCAGAACCCTGGGGCTGGCTAAGGAAAGAATAACCACTCGGGCAAAGTTAAAAAAGACCAGAATAATCAGATGCTTGCTGCCAAACTTCAGTCAGAAACAGAAAGTCCAGGTTTACAGAGAGAATTAGATAATTGAGCAGAAAGGACTTATTGTTAACAGAGAGGGCATTTAATAGAGCCATGCTGAGTGAGGTGGAGGAACCAGAAACTACAGAAACAGCTGGAGTTAGTGGACGTAAATTAGCAGGATTACCTCCACGGTGCTTATAAAAACCACTTATGGAGTAAACAGGAGGAGAAACCACTGAAGAATGAGGATAAACAGACCTTAAAAAACTTGGACAGAGAAATTGCACCACATCGCGGCCTGGAGGGAATGCGGAAGTGGCGCACAGTTCTCCAAACAAAGGAAAAGAAGCTAAACCACGCCCAAGAGAAATCTTATTCTCACCTGGATTCCTGCTCGTTTACCCCTTTGTCTCAGATGTTTTCCCAGGATCGGATAAACATTGCTGTAGGCGTTTGGGTAGGAATCAGCATTTGGCTCCGGGCCAGCGCGCTGCTCATGAAAACAAACGGAGGTAAATCCTTGGTGCATCCTGGGCTATCGCGAACGAACGGAAGGACAAAAGCAGTGGAGGTTTTACCATTAGGCACAGGTCGGTGGCCGCCTGGGGCCCCCTTATGTTGGGGGGTCCCCTAGCCCTGACTGCTGGCACCCCTCTGTTAATGCAACAATGGACCATTCCATTAAGACGTAGATGCACAAACAGGAAGTGGTTGGTAGTCATTCCACTTCAATCCAGTTGGTGGCAGTAATGCACCAAATTGTTGTTTGCCAAGTGCCATAAGACCACAAATAAGAAGAGAAAGCAGAAAAAGAAGAAGAGAGGCGGGAGCGTTCGTAACAAACTCGAAGCGTTAGTCAAAACATTAAGCATGAAATGAAGTTATCCTAGTGGCTTCAATAAGCGAAAGAAGCAGTTTGCTTTAAAAAAGCTTTTATCTTCACTTCCAAATGTGACGTCATTTCTCAATGTAAACATCAAAAGGAAGCAGAAAAGGAAAGACAATGGAAAATGTTTAAAGGGAAGAAAACATGGACCAAAATGGAAAATAGAAGAAAAAAAAAGGAAAGGCACAGGAGCGCTGACAAGAAGAAAGCAGAGCAAATATTGAAGGCACTCAAATGGAGAGAGACAGGAAAAAAGAGGACTAATAAAAAGTGAAAATAACTCATGTCAGAAGAGGGTAGAGTTTCGCAAATCCAGTTAAAGAGAAGATTGTCGAAAATTTTGTGTCTGTGTCTGTCTGTGTTTGCCTTGGGCCCCCAAATAGCTAAATCTACCACTGGACAAAAGAGTCTGGGGATCATAGGAGATGGTAGCCGGGACACTACCAAAGACGACCGCAGACAGTAGCAAGGCGGAGAGGAGGAGGTTAGTAGAGAAAAGTTTGAAAAAGTGGCCGGTGACCACGGCTAAACCAAGCACAGGCGCCATCTTGTTACTGACACGGAAGCAGATAGCCCCAGAAAAACGCGACGCTCTCTGTTGTCCTGGTGGGGAATTACTTTGTAAGACTCCACAGGTGATGGAGAAGCCTGAGGGTAAAACATCTCTGTAAATGCGTGCGCGTGACTCCACACCTGAGCTGACAGAGATGTATAAATCAGGCTTTACATCATCCACCTCTGGGTTAGTTAAAAACATCACAACTCTTCATCTGTCCAGCTGAGCCATTAGACTGGAATCTAGTCGAGATCCCGCCTCTCCCACACATTCTTGCTGGATTAGAGGCATCACGTCTCTTAGTGGACAATGGGATTACGTGGTATTTTCCTGTTTGATGTTCTCAGTCAGCTGTTGATGCGTTGTATGGGTGTGTCTGCCAGATAAAACAAAAGGTAGTTTTCAAGGAGCACTACTAAGAGTAACACGGACCGATGCAGCTCGGCCAGACAACAGTTTCCACATTTTTCAGCTGAGTTTTATTTCTGTGGAGCATACAGGCTAACTTACACTGTTTAATAATCACCTCATGCCCCACAAGTGCCGCGGGTCTCCTCTTCCTACGAGGGGCGCACCCACATTCTGTCACGGAGCTCGCATGGGAACAAAACTACCCTCGGATGGACCGACTCAAACCACGCTATACAGAGCTGTTTCAGGCTGAGCAGTAGGGCTGGACAATTTAGAAAAAAGCTTATCGATTAAAAAAAACATGTTTACAATTGATATCAATAATTATAGAAAACTATGAAAAATGTAGAAAATTCTTTGTGTTTTTGATTGGTTGGGTGTAGGTAATGATTCTAGTATGAAGCTACTCGATCCATTTTTTTTCTATTGAACTACACACCTATCAATCAATATATATCATTACTGAATTATTGTCCAGTCTTACCGAGTAGTGCTCATGGAAAACTAGCTATAGATTACCGTCACAAACACTAATACTTAAAAAAAATGTTACTGTCCACTGTCGCTTCTCAGATTTTTGGCTAAGGTCAAGTGTATCTGTGCAGCTGTTTTATCATGACAGACAGGTTACAATCAACAGTTTTGACACCATTAGTTTAGCATCATATGGTTTTTACACATGATTTTATGGTTACCCTAAATAACCGTAATCATGTTAATATTGCCAGCAGCAGCAACTCCGCTGAATCCGGGCAATTAAATATGTCTCCAAACTGAGGCTGAGCAGGAGGCTATCTAAGACAAGTAACATAAAAACATTTTTATTAAAACTTTTACACAGAAACACACTTAAAAAGGCCAAACCTAACCCTGACCAACTCACCGAAGGAGCCATAATCGTACGGGTAGGCTGGAGTCTTCCCTGTAGAGGAACACACACACACACACATTAGTGTACGCATGTACACACATCAGTAACTGATGTTACCCCCTCATCTTTACAAGTCCTCCTTAATCCACGCATTGCAGCAGCACCTAGTCCAAAGCTGACGCAGCTTGACAAAATTCGTGCAGTTGCGGCTGGAGTAAATTGATAATATGCATCAATCATATATTACTTTGAGTCTTCATTAAACACATCCAGCCCAATGTTTTTTTTACACAGGACACTGTGAATGCTGTCATCATTTAGGTAATGAAATATTAATTTGCCCATGCACCCCCGTAACACACTCAAAGACCACTAGGGGTACGTTGTGCACCCCTGGTTGGGAATCACTGCTCTATACGACCATCTACTTAGTTCTACAGAGCTGTCGTGAAGTTAGATGTTGCTGATGATGTGCCTAATGTAAACTTAACAAGTGGGTACATCTGTACGGGATCCAGGTGAGTCACTATCCTGACCAAGGGGCCATTTTGGTCTGCATTTTTTGAAGCCAAGAGGGAGAGGCTAAAATTGCACCCTCATCTGCTAGGAGCTGACACCAGAAGTGAGCAAATTCTCATGGACTCCCATGTTAAAAATGCCAATTTCACAGCAGAAGTAAACACGTTTACAGCCTGGTTCAAAAACCCATTTTAAGCTTAGTAGATCTAGTTTACATTCATAACAACTCTGAAGGGGTGAATATTTTTGTAACTCTTCTGTTTAAATGCAATTAAATGCTTAAAAGTCTAAATAATTAATCAGCATCAGAGCCATGTGACTTCAGAGCTAGCAATGGGAGCTAACTCTGGGGAAAGGCCTCAGCCTGGGCCTCACGTTAACAGATGTTCGGTCATTTCGACTTTCTGAAATTTAGTTGTGTCCTCTGTGTGTCTGGATGTTAATCGTGGAATTGGTTGAACAAAGAAGGCAAGCTGTGTTTACTGACTGCACTGACTGAAAATTATATTTCTGTACTTTATTATGCTGGTTGAATAGGGGAAATGCTGAGTCATTTAACTGCTTGTTTAAACATGTTACTGGTTGCTGCTGGATAAGAAACTTGAGCGGCTGCCCGGCTTCTCCTGTCTCCTGCCGGGAAACAGTTGCTAGTGCAGTCAGCTGGCTGTTCCCGTTCCCTTGGACAATTGGGACGCATGGACTGGCTCAGATGCAAGCCTGCAGTCATGCCGGTCACTTGTGGATCTTTGAGGGAGACCATAGAAACACTGCAGCTCTTTTAGTTGACGCTGCTTCACTTTTGAGTCACTCAACGGCATTCTGGGAGTGTCGACTTGGCTCCGGTAGCCGAGTTGACGCTCCCAGAGCCGGTTGCGTCGACAACGGCGAACTCGCAGATCTTTGACTGCTGTGGACCAGCGAAGCCCGATATCCTCTGTCAGCTTACCTAGTTTTGATTTCATTTATAACCCCAGCCTCGCACGGAAGCAAGTCGGCCGTGCAGGTGGGCTACCCCGGTCCCCGGAGCCCTTCTTAGCTTCTAGGTTAGCTAAGTTAGTTAGCTACATTGGTTCATTTGTTCCAACACTGTTCCAAACATAACAGCCCCACTCTCATCTCCACCTCTTTTCCCATTTTTGGATTGTCTGGGTGTGACAAGATGTTTGTCATGGCCAAAATGTCGGTGTTGGGAACCTCCCATTTTTGTTTTCAATCTGCCCCCCACGGAACAATGGGCGGGCTATGTTCATATTTTTTAAACACTGATGATCATGATCAAAGGTCGTTTGAGTCCTGGAACGGGGCCAAACACAAAGCTCAGCTCATCGTTTCTTCTTTACAACAGCTGGAGTCAGAGCTTAAGTTTGCAGGCAGCAACATGGGGTAGGGGTACAAGAGGAGGAACTGTGTTGCTGTACCTTCGTTGTTCTTCCCCAGAAGAGAGGCTGAGCCACACAGGAAGAGAAAGAGGGTCAAACACAGTCAGTTAGGTGTTTTGCTAAAATGTGACTTTCATTTATTTCTAAAATGATTTGTGACCCTAACCCTTTACCCGTCTCAGCAGGTGACACATCAGCTAGCGTCTGAAACAGCTCTCTCCTCTTCATCCTGCAAAAGCACAAATACAAAATAATCACTGCTTGTTTTCAGAATGCAGAAGACAAAACTAGAGTTATTCTTCACAGGACACTAACCCTACCTACTTGACTTCTGCATAAAAGCTGGAGCTACAGCTACGGTCACAATTAATATATCATACGAAGAAGAAAAAACTTTTATGCCGTTTACATGTTAGTGTCAGTACAGTCGGGTACAGGACCAGAATTTGGTTTCACACATGGGTCACATATGAGTTTTCCATTCTGAGGCTAATCTTTTTTTCAGACCTCTTCCTTGGCGGTCCAACTGGGACTGAGGTGACACTATGGACTGATTGGCCAGCTGAAATTCCGCCTACTGACTTCAATTGGCAAGTAGGATTGGACTGTAATGGGCCATGCCCATCTGTACCGGGTCGGCCCGGGCCTGGTATTTTTCCGGGCCAACCAAGGCTCATTCTCAGCCCTCTTCTCGAGGGGGTCTGCTTCAGGCCGACCAGGGCCAACACACCTACTGCTGACAGCAAATTCACACCTTCCATTAGAGCAAGCCTCTGATTGGTGGGTAGAATCAGCCCACATGGGCTTAAGGCAAGGATGTGTGGAGTCAACCGGGCCAGGCTGGGGCCGACTGGGGCTACCCGGCCCGGGCCGACCCGGTACAGATGGGAATGGCCCATAAGATTGGACTGGACTGTCCTAGCTGTGGGGATTCTAATAGTGTGCCTAGACCGACAAGAATAGCAAAATCCTTTTGCTTCGGCAACAGACGGTCTAGATTCTAGGTTAGGACTTTTTGTTACTCTAGGCTTCTTCAACCAGCCTACGTGCACATCACGAGCATGCACACTCCAAAATGAGATCTTGAGTTCCGGCCTTGATGTTATTACAAAGGCAAGATGTACAGTACCATACAGTGCTCAGCATAAATGAGTGCGCCCCACTACAATTGTCAGAAAGCCTTTAGTTTCCTTTCAGAATCAACATTTTCTATGAGATACCATACTACCAAATACTCTCACAAAAGTGGGCCATTTATTATTTTGAACACACAAAAAAGTGATTTTCCTAACAAATCCATTCAATCCCATGTTGCAAAAATGAGTACACCACAATTATAATCTTAGGAGAAAAGACACACCTAAGACTACAAAATTTGAATTAACAGGCATTCAACCACCTGTGAGTCTAATGATTCATTCAAGAGGTGCCCAGCAGACAGGTGACTATAAAAGACATTACTTAACAAAGAAAAGTCTTTCCCATTCCATGCTTTCATGCATGGAAGAAAAATATCACTAAATTTGTGAAAGGAAATAATTTCTTTACACATAAAAGGTGAAGGCCACAAGAAGATCGGCAAAGCTTTACATATCAGTCAAAATACTGTAGTAAAAGTGATCCAAAATTTAAGAAAGATGGAAGTGAAACCATCTTACAGGGACGTTCAGGTTGTCCACGAAAATTAAAGAGCAAGTCACCCCCTATCAGTTTTAAGCCTGGGGCACACCAAAAGCAGACGCACCTTTCTTGCGGTTTTGTGAAGTCAAGTGGTCGCACAGAATGTGCCGCACCACTGAGCACTTCTAGGAAAGTCGCGCTATAGTCACATCATGCGGGACTTAACAGGAAGCAGGAAGTGACTATTGCTTATCTGCGATCAGACTTCCCATCGTTTTTTGTGAGACTGTATTCAAAATGGTCAAGTACGCCATTTAATAGAATATTTTACAGTTTTTCTCAATTGCTAAAACACTAAACCCTGCTGTCTGAACCAAATGCTGTTGCTTGAAACCGCTGATTGAATCAATCACTCTTTTGGCAAAACCATAAGCCTTTTTCACCTGTTTAGACACCACTTGCCAACACAATTTTATTGTGATGCACTTGTACTGCATGACAAAAGTCAAACACAATTAAAGCGCAAGTGTCACCACTTGAACACAACAACTACAATTGATCACACTTGTGGCTAATGATGTGGGAGAACATATAAAGTAAGCCAATTTGAAGAGCACTGATTTGGGAGGCCCTACAATAGACAGAAATCTAAGAGGAAGAGTTCGTGTGAAAGGTGGTCGAGGTGGGCAGCGAATACAAAGAACAGTAATATCTGATGGAATCAAAGCTACTGTGGTTTACCGTGTTCTTGTCCATGAGGGAGGCTGGACAAGGGGTACAAACAAACATCGGTAGATTCACTGTGTCCACAAAACTTCGACAATTTAGAGAAGAGAACAGGTAATTACTTTTATCTGACATTATAGTACAGTATGTAAATGTTGACAGCAATTACTGTATGACATACTATTGAGCTGTAAGTCCCACCCATCTGTAAAACCCCACTGGACATCTAGATTACATAAAAAACAGGCATTGCAGGTGAATGAAAGAAAAGGATTATTTTCTCATATTTACTTGCATTGATGATTTTTCTATCTAGAGGTCCACTGGAGTTGGAGGAAGGGGTGGGATTTACCAGCTTTTTGTACTGTACAACAGTAAAATTGAACATGCGTTTCAGTACATCATTGTACCAATGCACTATAGTATTGTAATGGAGGGTTGTTCTAACTGTTCTTACGCCTAGTATCCCATGGATGTTTTTCTAATCCCTTATTCTCTATTTGCATAACTCAAAGACTGCCACATGGGGGTGGGAAGACAGGGATGTTCTCCCCACACCAAGAGATCCTAATTGTTGATATAGTCTGAGAAACATGCCATTGCACTGAGAGAAATTCAGCAGAAGAACATTGAGGACCATGTACATTTTGAGGGTATCAACCTCTCTACTGTCGATCGTGTCCTAATGCGCAACAGACTGCACATGAAACAACTATACTGAGTGCCCTTTGATCACAACTTGGACAGAGTCAAAGAGCAAATATTCCGGTATGTAGAGGAGGGCATATATCCAGACACATTCAATGTTGATTTCTCTAAGTATTCATTTACTGTAATGGAGTAAATCACTTTCTGTATCACTTAAAACACTATATTTGTTTCAACAGAGGGTTTATCAACTGGATGCAATGGAAAGACCCCATGAATACATCTACATGAATGAAGGTGGGTAATCTCACCAAAAGAAGGAGACACATTATGTGCAGCCATCAGCAATCACGGGATTGTGCACCATCAAATAAACACTCAGCAACCCCTCCTTTTCCTCAGTCACATGCGAGATGCTCTGTTAGGGCAGCAGGATGAGCATTACTTCTATGTTGTTGTTTGGGACAATGAGTTTTCACAGCACCCTCCAGGTTAGAGAGTGATTCAATATGAACCAAGGTTTTATCAACATTTGCCTTCCACCATACTCCCCTTTCCTAAACCCCATTGAGGAATTCTTCACCGCATGGCGGTGGAAGGTATAAGGTGGTGTATATTACACCATGGGAGCTAAGCCATGGAACTTGCCTGTGTTGACATTGGTATGGAGGCACACCAAGCTGGGATATGGCATGCCAGGGGTTTCCCTTCCCCGTTGCCTGGCCAGACAAAATGCGGCCTGCGATGTGGATAAAGTTCTGTGGCCTGACCCAGTCATGATGTTGTGGCTGAGTAATGCACTTACGTAATATTTGTATATTTTTGCACTTCATTTGTACATGGGCTTACTATACACAAGTGGCAAAGGTATACAGTCTCTATTTTTACAAGTGCTACTTGTAAATGCTCAAGATTTCAGTTTTGTCTTTTTGTGCAAGTGCTGAATGAATGTTTTAACATTAATTTTGCTTGCAGCGAACAACAAACAATTATTTCTCCAGCTTCACGTCCTGAGCATTGTTTTTTCTAATTTTCTACATAGTCTTTAGTGACTGTTCAGTAGCAATCTAATTTTGATTTACTCGCACCACTATTTGACAACAAGGTTCAATTTTGAGCACAGATTGAACTGTTTTGAGGTGAAAGTTCGGCTTAGCAAGAAGAGTCTGAGGTTTTGTGGATGTAGCTTGAAAATTGGATATTGTGTTCACAGTTTAGAGAAAAGGACAGCACCTTTCAAGAAATGTGTCTTAGCAATTGAGAAAAACTGTAAGATCAATAGTACTTTAAAGTTATCAATACTGTAATCAAGTAGCATTTGCAAGTTTTGGTGACTTTTTTTTACTTTTTCCAATCGCCCATCAAGTCCAGAAAATAAGGTTTTAATAACTGCCAGCCATTTTCCTAACAGAAAGCACCTGACTGCCAGCATTTTTACTGTTCTTTGAAGAGTCAAAGAACATTGTGCTCTTTGATCGTGTCAATGCCAAAACTATCAAAAGAAAGAGTAGACTCATTTCTTACATCAGGAAGAATCGGCGTGTTTCTAGAGTTATCCATTCTGCAAGTGGTTGGATTTAAAATGACTTTAGTCAATGGCAGTGAATGAGGTAAGTTGGTAATGTGCTGGCGAAGGTTCCCAGTCATCCAGGTCATGGTAATTCAAAAAGGTTCAAATGAAGGCAACTGGACTTCTTTAGTTTCTTGAAGACGTTCCGCTTCTCATCCGGATGAAGGAATCGATGAATGAATTCTACCAAACATATGCTCGTAAATGTTAAGTTCTTCACATAAATTTATATGCTTTCATGACTACTACTGGTAATTAACAATTGTATGGTTTGAAAGTGGTTTCAAATCATGAATCAAAATATATTTCTAAATAATTTAATGGAAAAAGTTACACACAAATTAAAAACAAAAGGCTGAAAAATTCCATTTTCAGATTATTAAGAAAGTCAACCGAAAAAGGTGGCTCCCATTTGCTTCGGTGTTGCTTGGTGCATTCTATTGATGCATTCTACGCAGAGCGACGAAGGGTAATGTGGTTGACCATAAACTTCCCATGACTGCTGGGCTTCATTATCACCCAGCACCTTTAAAATGTCCAACTTGGCCTGCAGCAGTCTTCCTCTGTTCAGTCTGGGCAACATTGGCACAATACTGACGGAAAAAGATTCCTCCGTTTCATGTCTTGGCATCAAGGGCTTTGGAGGAGGCTCTTCCAGGAGATCC